AACAAATATATTATATAGATTATTATCCATAAAACATTATAAGGAATTCAGTAATCCTTACGAGATGATATTGAAACCTGTTTTGCTATAATTACAACATATGTCAAGCTTTCTATTTATTATACATGCGCACACACACTTACATATGGAATTAAGTAAATGTCCCATTCATAGTTTTAAAAGTTTTTTTTAGTTTTTTACAATCCAACTTTTATTTCTGCAATTCCGACTTATTAATTTGTGTTCTTAATCAAATCCAGTCTTGATTTGGAGTAAAATCATACATCCATTTACAAAAGATAAATTTGATTCTCAATCTTCAAATAATCTTACTATTAAAAAACTAGAACTTTCTTAATTTTTTTAAAATCTTACAATTAGTATTTACAAAATATTTGGATGAATTGATTAAATATTAGAGAACACAAAGTATTCTATAATATTTTAATTTTTAATTTAATTTTATTTTTAATTTTTTAATTTTTAATTTTAATATATATGAATATATACACGAGTCACTTTTTGTGTATATGTATATACATTTATCAAACTTAATATATTAACGAGATCTTTTTAATAAAGAATTGTTAATTTATATTAATTTAATTTTTACTCTAACTTATTTATATAATTAATTATATAATGAATAATATAAACTCTAATTAATTTATGGTAATAAATGACAGGTATGTGGCCGCTAGAAGGATCGCCAGAAGTAGTCCGCTGGATCAGTTATGTTATGCCGACAACTTTGCCCGTGATATCTCTGAGAGCAGTGTTAGAGAAAGGTTTTCCCATATACGAGTTCGAAGTTTACAGCGGCGTACTACTAGAATTAATATGGATAATTGTACTGTTTATTGGTTGCTTAAGCGGCCTAAAATTCAGATCCTCGTAACATCACTTAGAAATTAAAAAAAAATTTATTTCAAAAAAAAAAAAAAAAGAAAACAATAATAGTCTTGCCTGATTGGATATGGTTTTTAATGGTTTATAACACTATAATAAAACATTTAA